TATTTTTTGGTGATTGTTGGTTTTGTTTAACAAACTGCTGAGCACTTATGTGTTAGATGCACTTCAGTGTGTGTTTGTTTTTCTCCCCTTAGAGACTCGACATTGTCATTTTTCAGATGAGGAACTGAAGCCAGAGAGTTTCAGGAACTTGCTGAGGTCACTAAACTGAAGAGGAGGAGCCAGAATTTGAACTTGGGTCTGATTCAAGGCCAGAGCTCTTGATCCTTGGGCTGGGTTGACTGTCAGGATGCCTGCCCTGTCCTGGCTGGCCATGTGGCTTGGATAGGTCACTCCGGTCCCTGTGCCTTGGTTTCCCTAACTGCATGAGAAATGGGCTCTCCAGCTCTGCCTTGGGAGGCTGCGGTTCTGGTCCTGCTGGGCCAGATGCTCTGTAGCCAGAAGCTCGCTGGTGGAGGAGACGACTCTGGGATTTTTTGAGCATCAGCTACACACACGTCAAGTAAGGAAGCCGGGAAGTGCCACAGTCAGCCTTGGCCTTCAGGGAGCCCTGTGCCCCGGGAGACAGTCCCCACAGGGCGAGAGAAAGGACCAGCATGGTCAGAAGTTGAGGGCCAAGGACGGTATAGACTGAGTGACAGGAGAGCCTGAGGGCAGGGGGAAAAGGGGACCTGGCGTCAGCAAGCGCTTCCTGAGGAGGGGAGATGGGAGCCTCTGGGAGCAGGAGGGCTAGGAAAGGGTGCGCCAGGCCAGCCACTCGTTCCTGTCTCCATCGGGTGACAGAGCCAGGCTCCAGGGCCTCCCAGGCAGAGGCGGTGGCCAGCCAGGCCCCCAGGAGCCCATGGCGAGGGCCACCTGGACAGGCCCTTCCCTAGGGACCAGGAGGAACTCTCGACCCAGCCACGCTGCCCTGGGTGGGGACAGAGCCCAGCTGGACCCTCTGGCCAGGTAGGGAGGTGCTCAGTGAGCTCAGTGTCCCCGGCAGGGAGCAGCGGAGTGGCCGAGGGGCAGGGCCTTCCACCGCCCTTCCCCCAGACCACCATGGATGACATGGGGCCGGAGCTGAGCGGCCCAGTGAGGAGGTGCGCCTGTCCCTGGACACAAGGACACAGGTGAGGCGCTCCTTCCCGAGCGCTCAGACACCTCTCCCCATGCCTGCCTGCGGTGGGAGCCGCGTACAGCGCTCAGGGACCCCAGGGCTCCTTCCCGGGAGGCCTGGGCCTCTCTGCCTCTCTCCCGGGGGCTGGAATGATGTGGGAGCCCACATCCCGAAGCTGCCTTTGCTCCATGGGGGCTCTGTGGATCCCTACCCCAGATCTGGCCCCCGAGCTGGGATCCGGCACAGCCGTGACCACAGCTCCCAGCGCCACCGAGCCCCGGGTCCCGCGGTGGGAGCCCACTTCAGACCCCGTCTGGCTCTGCTGCCAGCCGCTTCCTGAGCTGGCCTCTCGGGCAGGCTGCCTGTCCCCGACCCTCTCCCCAGGCTCTGCTTCTTGGGGAGCCAGACTGAAGGCAGCCCTCAGGCTGCATCGGGGGACACCCAGCAGCTTGCTGTCCTAACGTGGCCCACAGCTGCACCTGGGCCCCGCGGTCAGTGACCAGCAGAGCTGACAGCTGCACCCTAGTCTGTCTGTCTGTCTGTCTGTATGTCTCTGTGTCTCACACACAGTTGGGTTTGAGGGAAACTCAATTGAGTGACTTAAAAAAAAATCACATCTGCTCAGCAAACCCAGCAGGCTGTGACACAGAAAGCCATTTTCCCCGGGAAGTGGGAGGACGGCGGGTGGCCGGGGTGTGTTCCATGGTCACAATCAGGATGTGCGTGAGGGCCTCTGGGGCCAGTTATCCAGCTGGGACTATGTGGCAGAGGAGGGGAAGAGGAGGGAGCCAGGGAGCTGTGGAGACAGACAAGTGTATAAGGCTCACTAAGTGGGGCCTTACGGGCCCTGAGGATGGGACAGAAGGGAAAGGACAGTCCAATCAGCCCCCCGGGGGAGCGGCCACACCAGGGCCAGGGAAGCTTCTGCCACCACTGCAGCCCTCCCAGGTCCCCACTGTCTGGCCCCTCCCTCTGTCCCCCTCCTGTGGGCTCTCAGGGGACAGCCAGCTCCTGGCCTCGTGGGAAGGGAGGGAGAGGCACCTGGGCCCTGCCCAGGCTCCAGGGACACGTCCTCACTCCAAGGTGACTCGGTACCGGGTGGCACGCCCCAGGCCTGCTGTCACTGGCGGGCACTGACCGGGTCTGCACGTGCTGCTCGCTAATGAACCATATTGATTCCACATTCTCCTGTTGTCCCCTAAATGGCAAGCCACACATCTGATAGATTAAATACCCACACGATTGCCTGCCTGACATCTCCATCACTCCACCCAAGGGTCCCTCGTGGATTTTACAGCCCCACATGACAGAAGAAATTAAGGTCAAAGTCCGTCCTAGGAAGAATAAATCACCCATGATCTCTAAGGCCAGCGGAAGGCTAGCCCAGCCCTCACTTGCCCGGGCCACGAGGGGACACTTCTGGAAGTGCAGGGCCCAGGCCTGTCCCCCTCATACCGGCCCCTGCTCATCCCCACTCCCCACGCGGGTCCCCGTTCTCTCCCTCCACGGCCAGAACGTCCTCACACCGACGGGAGCAGCCCACCCAGAGAGACTGCTTCATTGTACAGACCTGCTCTCCGATCTGGCCTCCTATTCCAAAAATGACCCCAGGAGGCAGAAGGGCTCCGACGCACTCTCAGCATTTTGCAGATGAAGAAACCGAGGCTTGCAGAGAGAAGGGACGGCCCCAGGTCACCCAGCAGGCAAAGACCTCAACCTCCTGACTCAGGTGTGCAGGTCTTGCTATGGTGGGAGACCATGGGGCTCTTTTGTCCTGGTCTGGCTCCCCGCTGGGTGGCCGGTGGGTGGGGCGCACCTGCAGGTGTCCCCGCAGGCAGAGGGAGCTCAGCTGGAAGGTCAGCTAGCCAGGGTGACTTTCTGTCCCTCACATCTGAGATGACACTGTCATCTCATGGCCCCGTGGTTTTGCCAGGTTCTGAGGGAGAGGCTCGGCCTCCATGAGGAGGCTGCATTGTCTGGGCAAGGGAAAGGGTCTTCGAATCCTGGAGACGGCTCCCCCTGCTCCCTTCCTTCCCCCTGGGAGCCCCGGAGCCATCTGGCAACCCCAGCGTCTCTGCATCTTAGTGATCTCTGTCATCTGGGAAATGGGAGCCTAGTTTCACCCTCCCCGGCCGTCACAGGGATCCCACGTGATGACATACAGACAGCAGGTACTTAGCACTTCCAGTTAGTCGCATCATGTGTTTGGCACTCCTTCTGCCCTGGACACGCACTGGTTCACTGACCTTCCATAACAAACCCACAGGAACTATGGCTACCGCCCTTTTCCAAAAGAGGAAACCGAGGCACACAGACTGAGCACTCGTGCTCCCCACCCCCACTTCAAAGTTAATAGAAGCCATGACTTTTTTAGGGGTGCATAGGCTCCCTGGCCAAAAAAAAAAAAAAAAAAACAACACACACACACAAATGCACATTTCTTTGCAGCGAGGCACAGTCACATGACCAGGTTCTGGCCAATGAGAGGAAAAGAGACATAAGGCATTTCTAGGAGCTCTCTTTAAGAGGGAGGGGACATGGCCTTCTTCATTTCCCCTGTCTTGTAGCTTGAAATGCAGGTGCAGTGGCTGGAGTTCTAGCGCCCATTCTGGACCACGAAGACCACACCACAGGGATGGTGGGCAGCCTGCGGGAGCCACCCAGACTGCTCCCTCTAAACTGCTTTTATCTGGGAGAAACATACACCTCCATCCTGCTGAAGCAACTGTTTGGGCATCTCCATTAGTAGTAGCCATATTGGTCACTGCAGGTACAAGTAACCAATTCAAAGTCACATAACTCAGAAACGACCGAGTCCTCTAGGAGCCTGGGGTCTCTACCGCTCTGCTTCCTGGGAGGAGCACTGGAGAAAGGTGGGTCGATACCACCATCTCCATCCTGACGGTTCTCACTGTCATGGTCAGATGGTAAAGCAGAAGAGGACCCCAGGAGATCTCCAAACCTAGGCTGGCATCCATTAGCTGCTCATGAAATCAATTTAGTGGGTCATGGGTAGCAATTTAAAAACATAAAATCCAGTTGAGGGCAGTGGCACAGGCCTGTAATCCCAGCAACTCTGGAGGCTGAGGTAGGAGGATTGTGAGTTTGAGGCTGGCCTCAGCAACATAGTAAGATCGTGCCTCAAAATAAACAAATAATAGAATAAAATAAAAAATACGAGGCTATATTATTGCATGGAGAAAGGAAGGATTGTTTTGCTCTAGTGACGTGTGTATGTGTGTATATCCTGAGGGTCATACAGTTAACACAATTTTTATTATGGGTTGTGTTAAAAAAAATGGTTTGAGGGGCCAGCGTTGTGCTCAGTGGTAGAGCGCTTGCCTAGCATACACGAGGCACTGGGTTCCATCCCCGGCACCACATAAAAATAAACAAATAAAATAAAGGCATCCTGTCCATCTACAACTAAAAAAAAAAAATTTTAAATAGTTTGAAAAACACCCAACAAGCCAGTGCATATAGGACTCAGAGTCACTCCAGAATCCCCCGCAGGACGGCCGCTCCCATCCCTCCAGCAGCACGGGGCTTCCACAACCCACAGGCCCAGCTCCACCTCAGCTCTGTGGCCGCCACCTGACTCCCTGGCCTTCCTCACTGCTCTCTGGACTCCCGCAGGCTGAGCCCAGTGGCTGTTCCTTGCCCTTCACCCCTGCGTCCCCCAGTCCAGGCTGATGGCCTCCCTGCGCCTGGCACAGAGGGCTCTGACAGGCCTGTGGTTGCAGCGTTGATGAACTCCCTCTGGCTCTGGCCATATAGAGCTACCCATTGTCGCCTTGCCCAGGGGGTCCATTTTCTTCGCTCTGGTGTCCTCTGAGCAATTGCCTGAACAGGAACAATCAGCGGTCAGCCTACGGAAGGGTGACTTCTGACAGGCGCACAGTACAGGAGACACCGACTCTCGGCACGGGAGGGGACTGTCTGGGGGCAGGCGGTCACGTGGGGTTAGCACAGGGGGACCTGGAGAGTGTCCAGCACAATCCCTTCATTTTCCAGATGAGGACACTGAGGGCCCTGGCGTCGGGGACCTGTTCAAGGTCACCCTGTGAGTGAGCAGCTGCTGCCTGGCAGGCCGGCTCGTCCTGGACTCTGGTGACCGCAGATTCCAACAGGAGGCTGGAGCCCAGCTGGGGGTGGGCTTCTGACAGTGATTGGCTCAGGGGAGGAGAAGCCAGGGGCATGGACAGATCCGGGTTTTTAAATTTTGGTTATGGGGATTGAACCCAGAGGCACTTAGCCACTGAGCCCCATCCCCAGCCCTATTTGTGTTTTATTTAGAGACAGGGTCTCCCTGAGTTGCTTAGGGCCTGGCTAAGTTGCTGAGGCTGGCTTTGAACTCGTGATCCTCCTGCCTCAGCCTCCCGAGGCCCTAGATCTGGGTCGGAAGCTTGGCTTGGACACCCAGTAGCTGGCTGACCTTGGGCAGCTCGGTTACCTCCCTGGCCTCAGTTTCTCCCACAGAGTGGACACAGAAGAGATGGATAATGCGCTGAGTGCGCCCATCACCCGACCTGATCCACTAAACTCTGAACGCCTGGCCCGAGGGAAGCTGCCTTCCCCTGCTTTGGCAAAGGGCAGAAAAGCAGCAGGTAAGCTGGGCGGATTCTGGAGGCACCAGAGATGGAGGCTGCGGAGCGTGTCAAGAACCCACAGCAACAGTCTTCTGATCAATTTGCCAAAAAGATCAATGAGTTGGGGGGCTGAAAACACTCAGACCTACCCGAGGTCCAGCCAGTCCACCCTGGGGGCAGAGCCGGGGAGCCCCAACTTGACATCCTGAAGCCTGGCCCTGCCGGGTTCCTTCAGTGGGAGAAGAACTTCCCTTAGCACCTGTCCCACCTCCCATTCCAGTCCATTTCCGTTTTCCGGACTGATATTTAGATTAAGGAGATAAGCACGGGCCAGGAGCACTGAGGCCTGACAGACACCGGACTCTCCACCAGCCTGCTGGGTCTCCAACGCCCCCCAACCTCTGCACCCCGGCCCCTCCCACTGGAGACAAACCAAGAGTGGGATGACAGAGGTACCCCCTAAATCGGGGAGGCAAAGGCTAAAAAGGCCTTCCAAGCCAGTTTGGGGGCAGGGCGGCTGACCCGCTGTTTACTATTTGTGTGTGTACCTCTCTCTCTCCCTTTGGTCCTCTCCTTCCTCTCCCCTCCCCAGGCTGCAGATAAAGAATTCAATTTTCTTTTAAACGGTGGGGAAATTGGAAGAGATTTTGTTCTGTTTAAGCACAGCTGGAGTCTCAGGTCTCAAGGGGTTTGAGAACAATGAGATCAATTAAGATGCCAATGGTGAGGGGTGTCAGGAGGGGGTGGGGACAGCATGGCCGGTGGGGGTGGGAACTCCATCTACAGGGGAGGAGGCAGCCCAGGCCTGGGGGGAGCATGGGTTCTGAGGTGCCAGGGCTGCCCTCCCTCTTGGGGTTCTGTCGAAGTATCCAGATGGGGCCTACCACCCGGCTGCTGCCATCCCTCAGACTTACTAATAATTCATGTTGGCAATTTCTGTCACCAGCTTCATACGATGGCAGACTCAAGTTGAACCCATATGGTGATACGCCGTTGAGGCTGCTGTCCCAGGAGGCCACAGAAACCCAGGCAGCTGGCCCACAGAGGCACTGGCACTGCATGGGGGCCTCCTGGGGTTCGCAGGCCCTGGACCATGACCTCGATGGACACCATCTCACTGGGCGGCTGCTGAGTCAGGACAACCTGCCCAAGGCCTGTCTGCAGACAGAAGCTGAGGTAGGCCCCCAGCCCTTTCTACCTCAAGTGGAGAAGGTACCTGGTCAGCTGGGTAGAGACCAAGGTGGACGTGCTCTGCTGCTCTGGGCTCTGGCCTGAGCCACCTCCCAGCGTCCCCCCTCCGCCCGCCATGCCCCTCTCCCTGGTCTCTTCTCTAAGCAGCAGCCACGCGGTCCCCAGATGCCCCTCCAAGGGACTCATCCCCTCCTGCTCTCTGCCACCCCCTGCCACCCCCTGCCACCCTTCACGGCTCCTTCCAGACTTCCCAGGTTCTCAGCCTGGATCCCACCCACCTGCCTTTCCACCTGGGCCCTTTTCCCCGCTGCCCTCTGTGGGACACCTGTCCATCCTGGACACTTGACGTCAGGTCACCCAGTTCCAGTTTCTCCCGTGGCCCTCACCCCCTGTGATGCTCTGGTTTCCTTGTTCACTGTCAGTACCCTCTGGCCTGGACAGGGACGTCTGTCTGGTCCGCCTGTCCTGACCACCACTGTCATCCCTGGCTCTGGACATACAGTGGCTAAATGGAGGCAGCTACATGTGGAGGTCACCTATTGCCCCCAGACAGTGCAGAGCCCTGCTCTGCGAGGGGAAGGGGACACATAGTCCGGGGAGTACCCGGAGGGCCCATGGCCCCTGGTCCTCCCTAGCAGCCTTCAGGGAAGCCAGGGTCCTCCTGCTCACCTGTCCACAGAGCTAGGCTGAGGGCCGGGCAGATTTTAGCCTTGACCTTGGAGTCATATCCCCTGATTAGGCCCAGGAGACCCAGGGCTCCTGGAATCTGGTGGTCTCGCTGCTGCCTCCCTCCCCTGGCCTTGGTTCCTGGGCTGGGGTCTGCGTCCCTAACCCCTGGCTGACCTACAGGCACTCAGCAGGCAGTGAGTCCACCCTGTCCTTGGAGGAGCAGAAGGCTGACTCCCAGGGAGGAGTGAATATGGCCACAGGGTCACCCAGTCAGCGGGTGGCCTGGCACCTAGGCCCCGGGGCTCGGGGCCAGCATTCTTCCCCATGTGCTCAGAGCCCGGCCCACAGTGAACCTGGGCCGAGAGGCCCTCTACCTCAACAAACGTCTCTGCCGCTGACTGGCTGGGTGGCTGGGGTTTGTGGGTCACCCTCCTGGTGCCTCAGTTTCCCCACCAAGCTTTGCCCACCTTCTTCTTCCATCGCCTCCCTCCAGGAGGCTACCCTAGAACCCCCGACCCCGAGAGTCAAGCCTGCTCTGTGCCATACGCCAGGTGGGACCCTGAGGGAGCAGCTGAGGGAAGGGCCTTGGGGGGGAAGGGCCTTGGGGGGGAAGGGCCTTGGGTAGCCGGGCAAGCCCTGGAGTGGGACAGCAGCCAGGAGAGCAAGGCTCAGAGCACACTGGGGGCCTGGGGAGGGGAGAGGACCCAGGGTGAGGTGGTAGGGAAAAGCAGAGGGGTGACGGGTGGGGTGGGGGTGGCAGGAGGGAGGCTGTGAGGCTGTGGGGGCAGGGCTGGAGGCCTTCAACGCCAACCAGGCCCAGAAGGCTTGAACCCTGGGCTAGGGAGGTGGCAGCAGGAACTTGGGTCTCCTCCCTGCCTCCCTCCCTCCAGAGACAGCTTCCTGGCCCCAGCTGGACAGCCTCAGGCTGAAGTGGGGTTTGAAGGTTCCCTCCTGTCCTTCTCCTTGTTCCTGCATCATGCACGAGGCCAGAGGGCAACCACTGCCTGGGAGCCTTGATCACAAACGACACCTCTGAGGGGGGCTATGGGACCTGGGCAGCTCTTGGTGTTTTTAAGACATCGATTTTCATGTGAATTCCTGGACATTCTTTCCTTTGGGAGTTGGGGGGCGGGGTCTACATCGAGTCACAAAAGGCCAGCAGCTTCTGCCTGGTTTTCTTGGGTTGCTCCTTCTCCAGAGCCCCGCTCTGGGGTGTCCCCACCCAGAACCCCATGCTGGAAAACGCCCCAACCACATGGATAAGCCAAAGGTGCTTGGGGGACAGTCTTGCTCAGCCTGTCCTTCATCCAGAACAGCCCAGGTACCAAGGGGGAGTGGTCACCATTGAAGTGGACCCTCCAGGCCCTACTGGTCGAGCCTCCAGCCAGAGGAAGGGAGTCACCCCAGACCTGAGGGAGCAGAGAAGGCCCCCCCATGTACCTGTCCATATTCCCGACTCACCAAATCCACGAACATGGTAAAACAGCTGGGGCTTTGCTGCTGAATTAGGGGTGACTTCTTTTCTTTTGTATGTGTGTATGTGTGTGTGTGTGTGTGTGTGTGTGTTAGCTATAGTTGGACACAATACCTTTATTCTGTTTATTTATTGTTATGTGGTGCTGAGGATCTAACCCAGCGCCTCACATGTGCCAGGTGAACACTCTACCGCTGAGCCACGACCCCAGCCCTTAGGGGTGATTTCTTATGCAGCATTAGGAACAGAAGCAAGATCCCCAAGAACAGAGGGACTGACACCTCGCTCAGAGAGGGCACGAGGTATTTAGCCAGCGTCTGGAGGCGAACACAGAAATGGATGAGAGCCCCTGGATTTTGAGCAGAGAATGGCTAAACGCCTGTAGCCACGCCAGCTACACAATCTGCTAAGCTCGGGGCAACAGGAGCATCATGGGACCCTTGCTCAAAGAGACTAAGAATTCTAGATGGCAACGGCAGAACAGGAAATCAAGGTCAGGGTTCTCCTAAGTCCAGTCCCCTGGGCAACTGCACAGGTGCCACGCAGGCAGCATCTATTGTCCCCTCCCTCTGGAGAGTCTCCATTCTCCCTTGGATCCTTCACTGGGTTCTGCTCCTTGAGGCCAAAGCCCCGGTGTTGGACTCCAGACTAGAACTCAGCCTGTGTGTGGGTGAGTGCACCGAGTCTAGGGGAGTCAGAGCAGAAGGCAGGGCGTCTGGAAACCCAGAGAGCCAGGATTTAAGAGCCAGTACACTCGATCTGCACGGACCCCAGAGTAAGATGGAACAGACATTCTTGGATAAGAATCACAATGACAACAATAACAGTACCAGCAATCACATCTGCCATTTATCCAGAGCCTTAGAATACACTAAGTGCTTTAAACGCCCCATCTCTCTTAAATCATCGGGTATCATTATTATCATTCCCACAGCAAGCTCTGGGGACTGGGGCCAGGAAGCAGCTCAGCACCTGCACAGGGTCTCAGGGACGGCAGGCAAGAGCCAGGATTTGAACCCGCGTCTCTCTGCTTGTGAAGCCCTGCTTTCGGCAGTGGCTGAGGCTGCCACGAGGTCTTCGTGATGTGGCAGAGCTACGCATCCTTCTGCTATGGAGCAGCATGACAGGCAGGACCCAGGTGAGTCCTGGGGAGCAGCCCTGATGCTACCTCAGGGAACTGGCCCTCCCAGATAGCCAGGGCCTAAGTTCCACTGCTTGGACCCAACAGCATGGTGGGGGGTGCTCCCAGAGCCCTCCTGCTGGAGGTGCCCCCAGTCACCGCGCTGGGAGTGAGGCCCTGTGGCTGGACAGCTGACTCAAGAGGCTGCTGGTGTGCAGTCCTCCCTCTGAGTGTAACTGGGCAGGACTGAAGCTGGCCTCCACCAGGGCCAGCCTGGGACACTGACATGACCACCGTGTCCTTGTGGCAGAGACCCAGAAGGAGATGCTTGTGGAGCCAGGAAACACTGCAGTAGCACCTGGCCCAGTCATCTCACGGGGGCCTCAGAGGCTCAGTGACTTGTCCTGGTCATGTGCTGCCCAGGGCAGGGCCAGGGATCCCAGGGTGGTGTCCCCGCCAGGGCTGGTGCTCTAGGAAGGCTCAGCCTGGAGGTCTGGTGGCGGCTGACATTTCCAGTCCAGCCACTTCCTGGCTCTGGGGCCCTGAGCAAGGCACTTAACTTCCCCGAGCCTCAGTTTCCTCATCTGTAAGGGAGAATGTCAGCTTCTACTCAACAGGACAGAAGTGACATACAAAGTGTGCGGCTGGCCGTAGGGGCCCAGAGGGAGCCCAGAGGGAGCACTGTACAGTTGATGGAGCTGTCCTCAGAGGTCACCCTGCCATCCCCTGCCTGGGAGCCGTGTCCTGGCACCAGGTATGGAAGGAGCCAGGGGTACGTTCCAGCCCACCTTCCTTGCTGCACAGGGGAGATGCTTAGGAGAGAAGTGGCGAGCAGAGCTGGACTCAAGGTCACGACTTTGAACTTGACGTCCTTGAACTTGCCGTTCCCACTCTTTCCCCTCCCCAAGTAGAGTCACACCTTGTTATGACCAAGGGCTTCAGGGGTCTCAGAACCTGGGCTGGGGAGGTCCAGGGAGCAGGGAGGTGCAGCTCCTCCACCCTGCGGGGATGCCCAGGCTGGTGGTGACGGCCACCCCTCCAATGCCACCCTCAGACCGCCACCTGGCCCAGCACAGGTGACCTGCCACAGAGGCAGGGCCGTTCCAGGTGGGGGCTGGGGAGGACCCTTGAAGCAGGCTCTGCTCCAGGCTTCAGTGCAAATTAATCCATCTTCCTTTTCTTCATAATTTTTTTCCGGACACAACTGCCCATGAAACATTTAAATAACATCCAGAAAAGGTCAGGGAGAAGGAATTTCACAGTCCCTGCACAGGTGGCGACAGCCTCGGCCCCTCCTGTGGCAAAGGAGGTGGGAGATGAGGCCGACCCCGTCGAAGCAGAGTGGCCAGGAAACGGGCTGCCTGCTAGGAGCACTGGAGGCATCCGTGGTGCCTCCTCTCCTCTCTACAGCAACGTCATGTCCATTCTACAGGTGGGGAAATGAAGGCTCCTAGTGTGTGTGCATAGGTCAGCACGCAGCAAAGGTGGGACAGCAGAGCCCACAGTCCTGTCATCAGAGGATGAATGGCCCCTTATATCGTCACAGTCTCATAACCCTTGGGGTTGGGGAATAAGGAGAGGCAGGCAGAGCTTGTGAGAAGGAAGCCAGGAACCAGAGACTGGTGTCACCTGGCAGCCCCAGGCGGAGCTCACCTGCTGAGCACGGAGGGGACCAAATGCCCTGAGGGCCAGCCCTGTCTTTAGCAGGCTCAGAATCTGCTTCAGCTCCGGATGAAACCAGGTGTGAGGGGCTTGGCTCACGTCCACCAGGGCCACTCCTCAGGGCCAGGACTGGACCCAACACACGTGTCTTTGGTGCCGCCCGTCAAGGCACGCGCCTTCTCACGCTTCAGCCTCAGCCCTGCTCCGTAGGTTTCCCCAGCCCTTCCCAGGCCTGGAACCCGGACCCCCAGACAACGACTCCATCCCCAGCAAGAATTCCAGGAAGGAATCCTGGACGCGCTCCAAGCCTGGATCCCACACCAGGACACCTGACCACAGGCTCCTGACCTACAGTGGGGAGGCCTCTGCCCCTGGCCAGGCCCCCAGCACACGGGCTGAACGGTGCCCTTCCCCCTGACATTGGAGGGTGGACAGGAGGCCACAGACACTTCCTTTTGGGTCCAGGGAACCAAGAGACTGGAGCCTCTGGTGCTTGCTCTCAGGCCATCCTAAAAGGCCAGAGGATGGTCCCGGGGCCTCGGGCACAGGAGACGTTCTGCTGAGGACACTGGCAAAAGCCGAGGGAGACAGGCGGGAAAGCAGGGTTGGGAAGAGCAGCCGCAGCAGACACACTGTTTACAAACATCTGTTTGAAATATTAATAACTGTCAGATGGGAAGGGCCCGGGGCTCAGTGCGGTTCCCTACCATCTGTCTGCAGAGTAAACACACTTCAGACCGTGGGGAGTGGGACGGCTGGCAATGTCAGCTCCCAGCGAGAAACAGCAGCCAAGGACTGTGGGGGGCATCAGGTGGCTGGGAAGGGGGCTGCAGCGAGGTAAGTGCCTTGACATTTCCTGAGCACCTACTATGGGCACGACCCTGAGTTGTGTGGCAACTGATGTACTCAGCATCCAAACCCGTTTCTTTTAATAATAGACTCCCCTTCTCCGTTTTCAGCCCATATCATCAGGAACCCCAGCCCCTAGCTCCACTAGGGGGAGTACGACCCATCCCTGGCGTTTCAGAATCCAGAGGATTGTTGCCAAAAGCCCACAAACGAAGAATCAATTCTGGGATTTGGGCTGGAATTACTGGAAAAAGAAGTTTCTCCCCACGAGGATTGATGAACCCGTAAGAGCTAAACCTGCAGGTGCTGGTGCCCAACTCAGCCAATACAAAAGCAGAAGCTGGCACTGAAGACAGGCTCCTGCTCAATTGAGTGCCTGGATGCAGCCATGCCTGAAATCACTTATACCTTCAAGTTACGTGAGCCAATCTTTTTTTTTTTTTTTTTTGCTTGAACACTTAAGGGTTTCTTCACCTTGCAACCAAGAGTATTAACCGATATAAATGACACTGAGGGGCCCCTTATTAAAGGGCTAGTCCCAGACAAGAGCAACCAGAGATGCCCAGGTACTTAGAAGGACCCCTCTGTGCTCAGATAGGGGAGGCTGCCCTCCTTAGAGAGGCACTTGTTTCCCCCATCAGAGGGGGCTTCCAAAGTTCCCCCCGAGCACCCAGAACTAGTCCCTCTTAGGGAAAAGCAAGAAAGCCAAAGGATCCCTGGCCCAATCTCTGGCTGCTCCAGGCTGGTCCCTTTCGCTTGCTGCAGCCCTGGCCAAGGAGCCCCATTGTGGAGAGTCCAGGCCCCTCCATTCACAGCCCTGGGCAGTTGGGGGCATCTGCTTCCCTGAGTGCCCAGGGTCCTCGGGAATACCTCTGGCTGCCTCCCATGGCCTGTCAGAGGAACTCAGTGGCCCCGCAGGGGACTCACCAGGACTGTCAGCACAGAGGTCCCCACGGTGACATTCTCGTACAGGCTGACATTGTACAGTGGCTGGCTGAAGATGGGCCGGTTGTCATTCTCGTTGATGAGGGTGATCTTCACCTTGGCGTAGCCCACGTGGTCGGGCACACTCTCATTGGCGAAGAGCTGGGGAGCAGATTGGGGCTGGTAAGCTCCCAGATGTTCTCAGAACTCTTGTCCCTCCCACCCCCACTAAAAGGCCCCCCAGTTCCTTGGCTGGTGCCAGCACTGGCTGGAGTCACTGCCCACCTCCTGTGTGCTGCTATAAGGCCCTCCGTCATTGTCACAGGGCCGGGGTGGCCACTGATTCTGCTCTGGGGGAGGGGCGGGGGGCTGGACAGAGAGGAGGTGGCCACAGAGACTCTTGGGGAAGTGCTTTAGAGGCTGCAGGGGGGCCTGAGGAAATCCCACCCAATGTCCGGACATGGGCTTATCCTCCTTGCAAAGAGGAGGCTCACTCCAGCGCTGCCTCTCAGTGGGCTCCTCTGGGTCCGAGCCCCAGGGAAGGTGGGGGAGGTGGGGGTTGGGATTTAAAGGGGTATCCCTCTACCATGTCTCCCCTGGAGACCCCCCCACTGGGCCCAAAGAGGTGGCCTTACATCAAAGTCGTAGCGGTCCACGGTCTCGTAGTCGAGGGGGATGGCCACCCGGATGCGGATGTCCGCCTTCCCTTGGACGGAGGTTGGGGAGATGATGAAGTGGTGGGAGTTGTTCCCCACCAGGTACACCTCAAACATGCTGTTCAGGCCCTGGGGCAGGAGTGGACAAGAGCTAGTCAGAAGTTCAGAGAGGACACGGAGGCCAAGACCCAGAGCCTGAGTGCAGGTGCAGAGGGCCTGGGGGGCCAGCTGAGCCGGACAGGGCTGGCCTGCCCCACCCACAGAGGTTCTGGTCTCCCTGGGGTGACGCTGGCCCAGCTCCTGGACCCCACCTCCTGCCCCTGTCTGGGCCTCAGGGAGTCTCCTCTGGCCCCCTCTGTCCAATGCCCTCAGGGACCTTCCCGGGCTCGGGTTCCTGTTCCTGTTCCCTTTCTCTGCCCCAGAGACCCCAACTCGGGGGAAAGAGGCCAGCAAGGAACAGAGGGAAAAGAGAAGAGGGCAGAGGGGTGGAGGGAAGAGGAGCCATGACAGGCGGGGACAGGAGAGGACAGGAGGGACAAGGCAGCACACAGCTCCTCCTATGGGATGTGTCCATCAGGGAGAACCTCAGTTTGCTTACTGGTGACAGAGAGGTGACCCAGAGCCTGGGTGGCAGAGTGCACCACCACGTGCCCCATGCACCACGTGGCCAGCCCTGGAGGATACCATCTCGGGCTGGGTGAATGCAGCCATGCCCACAAGGCTCTGCTGTGTCCAGCAGCCCAAGTCCATCACTTTGGGAGTGTGGTAGGTGCCTCACTAGCTCAGGGTTTCTGGAAGTTCTAACCAGAGCTGCAGCTCAAAAAACCCTCATATGAGCCGGGCGCTGTGGACCACGCCTCTAATCCCAGCAGCTCGGGAGGCTGAGGCAGGAGGATCGCAAGTTCAAAGCCAGCCTCAGCAACTCAGCAAGGCCCTGAGCAGCTCAGCAAGACCCTGTCTCTAAATAAAATACAAAAAAGGCTGGGGAGGGGGCTCAGTGGTTAAGCACTCCTGGGTTCAATCCTGGTGCCCCCCCCCAAAAAATCCCCATATGATACATGATTTATTCTAATGCAAAACTGTTGGGATGTGACATCTCCACGTTACTCAAGTGCCCAGCTTAGGAGGAAAAGCCATTGCTGAAGGTGAGCTGTATGGCCTACCAACCCCCTGAGCCTGGCTGCTCACAGAAAGAGATGCATGTACTTTCTCCTGCCTCCCTGGGGGAGATCCCTCCAAACTCCCCTCCACGCTGGGTGGGGGCTGAGGTGCGCAGCCAGTCAGGAGCCTCCATCTGGCCCTTGGTGCTGATGCCAGCGGGTCACCCACCCGGGCTCCCTTGCCAGGGGCTTGTCCTCTCATTTCTCCTGTTGACCTCCCTCCCCAGCCCAGTGTGGCCAAGGGCGCATGGCCCCTCTTCTTGGCAACCCAGGGGCTGCAGAGGGACTCTCTCGGGGAACCCGTTCCTGGTGAGAGGGGCAGCCAGGCACACCGGCCCCGGAAGCCTTCCCATGCAAGGCTGGTCCCTCCCATTCAGGGCAAGGAGATGGGACAGGGTATGGCAGCCTCCAGGAGCCAGAGAGTTCACAAGATTCGGAGCCCCAGAGCTGCTCCACGGGCTCAGTGCTTTTGGGGAACAAAACATGTTGCTATTCACCCCGGGTCTCTTGAGTTCTTTCCATTCTACCAACCTGGCAATGCAAGGCCAGGGACAGGAGCCCAGGGGCGGGAGGAGCCCAAGAGCAGGCCATTGCTGGCACAGGTGTTTTGAGTGGGAGGCGGGAGCAGATCCTGGTGTCCAGGCAGTATCAGGGCCTCTAGAGTCCCCAGCCCAGGGTGGCTCCCTGGGGACTGTGGGGCTACGCTCCTCTTGGGCCTATTGGGTGGCAGAATTTTCATTTCTCTCTGTGTGGAATCCCTCTGGTCAGGGGGAGGGGACAATTAAATCCCTGAAGGGGCACTAATAGCCAAAAGCCATGGAGTGTGACCACGCTGGACAGGTGACACAGCACTTCTCCCTCCCTAAACCTTGGCCCCTTGACCATGTGGGGTGGGCACAGTCTGTGCATAAAGAAACGTCCCTTGTGCGGTGGGTGGCCCACCAGGACCCCCAGCCCAGCCCTGCCAGGGAGGCTCACTTACCAAGTTCTGTCAGGGGGAGTCGGTCAGTCAAGGGCATGGAGACAGGAAGAAGGAGCCGGAGAGGAGCCCAAGGGTGTAGAGAGAAAGGAACCAGAGAAAAGAGATGGTGAATCTTGGGTCAAGGCGAGGGGCCAAGACGGACCCCAGGGCACACCCAGCTCCCCAGGAGCCGCCTCCCAGGGCCCCAGTGGGCCACAGATTTGGGGTCCCGGGGAGGGGTACACTGGGGAGAGGAGCAGAGGAGGGTCAAGGGTGGACCCAGGAGGAGGGGACAGGGCAGGAAGGATGTTGATGTCAGAGGAAGCTGATCTCTGCCCCATCCATTGTCCCCTCGGTCCTGCTCCCATGAGCCTGGATAAAGCCCCTGCAGGAAGCAGCCGCAGACACAGCTATATTTTTATTTTCTTAGCATAAAAAATGTCAGAGACATGATAAGCTGGGGCATGGGAAATCTTGCAATAACTCAAAAGTGGGAGGAGCACACACTTTGTGTCTCCCTCCCGCCTTGCCCCTCGAGAGCCTTCTCCAGCGGTGACCACCAGACCAGGAAATCCACCCTGTGTGAGGCACCATCTACAGACAATGGCAGAGACCCAAGCCGCCCCCATCCCGACACAGTCACACACTGTACACACGCTCTGGGTCGAAGTTTTTCTTTTACAACTACGTCTTGGTGACTGCTCCCTAACTAGGAACAGCACTGCTGACGAGGACAGCAGACATCTAAGCACACATGTATTGCACACCTACTGCCAGGCCCCGTCCAAACACTTAAAAGTACCAGACATTGCCAGGTACAGTGGTGCACGCCTGTAATCCCAGCGACTACTGAGGCTGAGGCAGGAGGATTGCAAGTTCAAAGCCAGCCTCAGCAACTTAGTGAGGTCCTAAGCACTTAACGAGACCCTGTCTCAAAATGAAAAATTAAAAGGGCTGGGGATGTGGCTCGTGGTTAAGCACCTCAGGTTCCATTCCCAGTAACCCTCCCTCCCCAAATACCAAAGAACCAAAGATCTGCCTCATTTCTCTTAATGGCTGCAAAGTGCTTCTCTCACATGTTCAGTCCCCCCTGTGGTTATTCTTGAATGACAGAAACCCCTTGAGGCCATATATCACGCCTGATACAGTGTAAATCCACCTTAGACCCTGGCACACAGTAGGTGCTCAGGGATCGGGTTTCAGCAACTCTTGGGCTGCCCTGTGTGATCCTCTTCCCAAGGGAAATTAATTCCTGTGGAAATTAAGTTCAGAGAAGTTGTCCAAAGTGGGCGCGGGGGATTGTTTGCAAAGTGGGGGATCAGGGCCCAGGCCCAGATGCCAGGCCTGTGTACTCTGCAACAAATATATTACTGTTTGCAAAGGGCCCAGGTAGGGAAACTTGAGAGATCATAGGACAGAGGGAGGCTTGGTGGCCTGATGTGGGCATTCCCCTGTGCAGTGGGGGTACATGGCGTGGGATGCACGGTCAGGCAATCAGCAATATTAGTCACCAGCGCAAATGGAGGTAGGAAAATAGCACTCCAGGCCAAATTGTAGGGGAGGCTGCCCAGAATTGAACTGGTCTTAGGAAGAAAGGAAAATGCTTCTTCTTTTTTTTTTTTTTTTTAAAACTTTTAAACTAGCAGAAAA